CAAGATGGCGGAATCTACGTTTTTCAGGGCTTTTCGTAAAATATCAATATCTCAGCAACGATACAACTTTTTGATTTGCGCCTTTTACCAAAATTCCTTAAAATGTTTGGTCTACAAAAGCCCCCTATTTTGGAAAAGTTTCGAGAACATCGATTGAAGGCCACTTCGCTGTAATAGGTCGTGGCTTACGTGCAATGGCTCCTAAGCATATCTTTTTTTCCTTTGTGTGACATGTCTGTTCTCCAGTGCAGCATCGTATCTTTGTTAAAATAGATTAAAATAACTGTAGTGATAAACGGAGACGATGGAACCTAGATCTAAATGACTTTAACTTGTGTTTTCATCAGAGCTGGGCAGCTCCGACCCTGCCCGGCTTCTTTCCTAGAGTTTTATATTCGGCTCCGGCTCCAAAAGATGTTCATCTTTCCTTGTTTTTCTTTCCATTGAATTTTCCAGGCTTTCATGTAAGGAAAATATGAAAAAGAAAATCGTTTTGAAGTACATATACTCTATAACTGCATGACATACACATAAAAAATCTACTTTCAGAACCATTACAGTTAATAGAAGAAGGTCAAGACTGAGGCAGCATAAATTAATGTGTCAGCAGCGCACACACTTCTATAACTATCTGTCGTAAGAGTGCCATTTTTACCTCAATCGAACGCGCACATCATCATCCACACACCGGCTCCGGCTCTGAACTCAACGCTTCCCGTCCAGCTCCGTCTCCGCTTATAAACGGAGACGGCTACCAGGAGCCGGAGCCGCCCAGCTCTGCTTTTCATCAAATTTCCTGTCGGAGAAAAGTCACTGTTTCAACCTGATTGACGAGTGAGAAACGTAACTCGAAGTCTCAGATCCATCTAAATAGGAAGAGAATCAAGCACAGTCACATTTATAACTTGACTTTCCAACTTTTTCGAACAAACGGTGAATGGAAACAAGTCGAACTGATTTTTCCACGTTCTTCCCATAGTGAAAGCGAGAAAGAAACAAACATCAAATATTCGTTTACGAATATACTGCATGTGCGAGAAAACATATCTCCTTATTTTCTAGATGAATAGTAAATGAGACTAAAAGACGCAAACTGGAAAGAAAGAGAAAAACACGAGATTTTTTATTCTTATACCTATATCCAAAAATTATTCAGCATAAAATAACACAAGCTCTGCCGATGAAGAAAATAAAAGTGTAATACGTGTAAGGCTATTGCATGCAAATTACTGTTACTACTGGAAAATATGGCTATTAATACGGTAAATAATTCATGTGTTATAACTAAATAAATATATCAGACTAACCTCGCGCTATACTCATTAGGATCATCACTTATTGATTGAGACCGATCTGCCAATCTGAGTGCCCGAGCCCTGCTTCTTTCTTGTTTTTGTCTGGATCTAGTAATTTATCCACTCTCTCTTAAACCATTAAAAACCCCCCGTATATATCTGGTATGTATTTTTTTAACAAAATACGAAAGCAAACGGTGGTCCTCTCACTTACATACCATACTCGCCATCATTAAGCCAGTAATTTGAACAGTGATTAATGTAGTTGGTGTGGGTAGATAATCATGCTTCACCTTAACGTGATGGCCTATTAAAACGAATCATGTGTATTTTTTTATTGATTTCTATTAATTAGAAAAAGTATTATAGCAACGAAAGTTTCCTCTTGATAGAACAGAGAGAAACGCAAAAATAAAAAGCAATAAGTCGTGACTTGCACCTTTTTTAACAATAACAATGACGATAAAAACAAATGACGTCATCGAATTGCAGCAAGTACGCCATTTATATAAAAGCAGATGATGAAACTATGCAAGTTACTTCCGTGGCGTGGTGTTGATAATTCAAGGTAAGAGAGCAACAAGAGCGCGTGCGATGATACTCAAACATTCAAAATTTGTTTATCCTGCCTTCTATTGCTTCAAATTTGACATTTACATTTTTATTTACTCTCTAATGGCCAGCCTACTTGCACAACTAGTGTTTTTATCTATTCGTTTTACGAATGTATTTGCATTCCGTCCATTGGCATTCAGGTCAGTCTGTTCAATAGAGGTCTGCGGGATCCCAGTCCAGGTCTCATCCCGATCCCGAGGTACTTTTTACGAGACCAGGACCCAGAAAAATCTTTTTTACGAACTCGAAACCTAGAGGTCTGCGGGATGGTCCCGGTCCGAGACCTGGACCAGGTTTTCTTGAAAATAGTCTTGTATGGAGGTTAAAAATTGCTTAGTTTCTGTGCCTTTTTGTGTAGACACTATAGTTCTGTGAGAAAGAGGTCATGAAATTTTAAAAGTCTTCAATTAATACCTCCCACGCATGCTGTCTCATGCGCCACATTACGAAGCGCTGACTTTCAGAGGAAATTTCTTTGATAAAATTATTTTTTATGAATGATGAAAATAAAGATACGACCGAAATGACGTCATTTTTGCACTCAATGTTTCGAAATATTTTCATTTTTATTTTTACAATACCGCATTGTTTTAATTCTTTTTTCCACTTCAAAAAATGAGTCTATGGTAAAAAATGTAAGCTTCAAGAGCCTTTTGGCTGTAGAGGATAATACATTTAATCTGGAAAATATGTCATAAGATTAAGGCCTTCCGATTGCGAGGTTCTAACTTGACTGTTCGAAGCGTTTGAATTTATTCCAAAAAAACGAAAGAAGCTCTTCTTTTTTCTACTCGTCCTATCCCTTTCTGTATATTTACATATATATGTAACAATAGCAGAGAAGAGAAGAATGTGGAACTACATAACGAAGTGATACAATAAAAGTGGTGTGATGAAGAAAGAATGTATGAATATGAATAAGAGAAAGATAAGATGACTACCTCATCTTATATGAGCTAGCCTGTATAGGAGAAGCGATTTTACATAATTTACAACAATCGAAATGTACAAAAATTTGTAAAAAATAGAGTATTCCGCAGAAGAATTTGACTTTCTCACGACAAAAAGAAAGCAACAGTCTAGGAACATTAGATTAGTAGACATAGCGCTATCAAATGTTCGTTACACGTGTCTTATTTTTCTAATGAAAGTGCAGCGCGATTCATACATGTGCGTTACGCTCGATCTCGTTCGAGTGTGAAAAAAAGATGAAATAAGTTAAGATAGTTAAAAGAAAGTTAAGAAAGTTAAAAATTCAATGATTGTTGTGTGTATACGATTGTTGTGTGATTGATACACAAACGACGAAACTATGAAAGTGATACTATGATACTGTGAATCTATAAAACTGGGAAACTGTGAAAGTGATGTTATGATACTGTGAAAATGTGAAACTATGAAGGTGTAGTTTTGATGTGATAAGTCGATTCTATGAATTCGTGGTTATACTATAGACCTTCACTGTATGAAATCACAGCCCTCGATATTAGTCAACTGCACATTTTTCGAAGCTATGGCATCAGTTTTTATTGAAAAACATGATATCGACGTCTCTAAATGGTTAATAAATATTTATTAGTTATATGTACAATAGTCTGAGCAGAATCGGTATTGCTGTTGAGAGGTGGAACAGGCAAAAAATAATTAGCAACATGTCTTTGCTTTTACTCATATAAATCTAACGTTGAAGTAAGGTTACGGAGAAAGCTGAGAACCGCTGAAAGTCAAAAATTACTTTCAAGAAAAAGGCAAACAAGTTACTGGTATTCAAAAACCATACTTGATCGTAATACAACTTTTAATTATGTTGTGAAGAATTTCACGCTCATGTGTCATCCATGCTTCTGCATATCCCACCATTCTTTCCATAAAATCTAAAATAAACTAAACTTCGTTTAAGACTTGCTCAAAAGTTATCAAAAACGTCATCTTCAAGATATAAAAATCAGTGCAGCGGAAACTAAACATTTTGGACTATGCAGCTATGTATAAATCTCAAAGATGACTTTTTTGACAGAAGTGCGACCGTAAAGAGCAGATACATCAATCAAAATGAAATTGAACCATCTACCTCGTGAAAATTCTGTTAATAAAAATCCAGTGATACAGAATCAACAATTTAATTTTGACTTACTTTTAAAATTAGAACTAAAAAGATTAGCACAATTTTTGAAATTTATATATTTGTTGTTTTGGATCAATAGTTAATTGATGTGTATGATATTTTATTAATTCATGTCTATGTGATACAGTTATATATTGAATTGTTGATTGCTTTAAAGCATTGTAGATAGAACGTTCTGTTTGTTCATCACATCCACTCGTTGTTTCATCCAAAACAAAACATTTTATTCGATCACTTCCGATTAATAACGAACAAACAATAATCAATCGTTGTTGTTCTCCGACAGACAATATTTTTGACCATAATTGTCTTGTATCCCATGTATAACGAGCAATTAAATGATGTAGATTAAATTGTTTTAGTAGTTGATATGATTGTTCTTCTTCATCATTTTGAATGGTCAACAAACTAACACCATATTTTGCTTGTTTTAAATAAGATAATTGTTCACGTAATGTACCTTCGATTAAATGTATTTGTTGAGGTAAAAATAACATCGATTGTTTAGATAAAATTTTAATACATGATATTTCAGTTAGCTCTTCATCATCGTTATCATAGGTTAAATTGTAGTTTAAACCAGCTAACAGGCGTAACAATGATGATTTTCCACAACCCGATGGTCCAGTGATAATTAATGATGATGTTTTTGATTCTAAGACAAAATTTAGTTGCTGAATTAATAGATGAGATGTTTGTGAAATACGAATATTAACATTTATTAATGATAGTATATTGTCGTCGTTCTCTACATAAATACGACGTTTCAATTCTAATTCTTTGAGTTGTAAGTGATGATGAGTTTTATTCAATACTTTCAATTGAGCTGAAAAAGGGAAAATAAAGAAATTTCACAAATCAAATAAATAAACACTTGTTTCGTAACTATAGTCAGAAGTTGTTTCCAACATAGTATCAGATGGAATTCTCATCGGTCAATGGTTTAATTTCTTTAGTAAGTAAAATGAGACTACGACCCCACTGAAGAAATATTTCTTTAACGAATATGATGAACAAGTTTTAACAAAACGCATTCAGCCGCAGGTATTGGATCATTGACACATTATTGTTGAATCAGATATAGAAACTGCGAAACTACTCCTGAAAGAAATAAAGTACTTCAAGTACTTGTAAGGACGCACCAACCCAAAACCATATTTGTGTTTTGTACTCAGATAGTTCGAGTTTGTGTTGAATTTGTGTTTGGTGAAGATGTGGGGTTTGGGGTTTGTAACCCCAAGCTTGATTTGAGCGCCCAATCCAGCGAAAGTCTTATTGTCGTTACTAAACTGCTAGACATATGCACATAATAAATTTCTGCCGTTCACCTTATTCTTATATATTTGTCAAAATAGAATACGATTTTGCTAACTTCTTTCGTCGACCTTCGTTCTTACTCTTAAATCAGTCGAGAATAAAGTAGACAATAAGGCATACTCAGTTCTTCCCTAGTTCCGCTAGAGCTTTTGCTTCATCGTAAAACGTGCTAAAAGCGGCTATATATGTTCGAGCGATTTCTTCTCTTGCTCTGAAGTATTTTTTTAAAATACTCCTTAAATGAAGAACACGGGAAAAGTCCATTATGGTTTTGGTAAACGAAACTGTGTTATCTATACTTGCACAATATCCAAAAAGTGTTTGGTAATTTCTAGTACAAGTGTAGCGTCAAAAAGTGCATTTAGCTTATCTTCATTTTATGGCCGTAAAGAAAGAGCAAGACTAAATCCAGAGTCTATAAGTTTAGCAGCATTTTTGTAAGATAAACTGAGTACACCAACAACTGAACAGCTAATAGCGTTAAGACAGTCATAGTTTTTTCTATACTTGTACGGCAATAGTTTTACCAATAAAATATAATAAATTTTGAAAAACTGATCGGTGGAAGATCAGTTAGCTTCCTAGAAACAATGGATATGGTTTTGCGTGTTCCCATGAATTAGTTTAAAAATCAGAGCGACACAAGAAATCACTCGAACACATATAGTCTCTTTTGGCGCGTTTTACGACGAAGCAAAAGCTCTAGCGGAACTAAGAAAGAATTGAGTACGCTTTATTGTCTTCTTTATTCTCGATTGATTTAAGGGCACCCTACCTCAGGAATTCGATGTTTTCTTCGAAATCTTCAAAACTGAAGTAACCATACAGTTCAGTAGCCCAAAATGTTATCTTTCAGAATCTTCAGTTTGCCCAAAACTCAATGTTTTTGGAAGTTGTTAAAAGAGATTTCTGAACTCTCTAAAAGTCACCTTATTCTAAATTTCACATTTGAATTAAAATTTTTAAGGTTGTCCGTGTTTACAGGCATGGAGCTATGTTGAGCAGAGTGTTATGATCAGAATGAGATATTCAGCAGGTTTGTCCGACTTCGTCTTGCAGAGTTATACTAGTTTTGCTAAAGATGCTGAACTATAATTGATGAAGTGATGACGTTATTGCTTAGAATGTGGTTTTCGCAGAGCAAAATTGCTACTCCTCCTAGACGAGCGAAAAATCGCTACGGACAAACTTTAGATCTAGGTAAACGATAATAAGACTTTCGTTGGGTTTAGTGATAAAGCCAAACCCAAACTGCTTGGGGTTACAAACCCCAGATCTTCACCAAACACAAATTCCATACAAACCCAAACCTACCAAACACAAATATTTGGGTTTGCTGCAGCCCTAAGTATTTGAAATGTACTTAAAATACAAGTACAAAGTTAAAGTACAGGTATAAATATCCATGATTTGGTTCTTAGGAAAACACAACCTGGTCTCTACTATTGATTACAATATTTTTCGTAATCCGAATTTTTTCCTTTGTGATTTACGAGCATTGCTACCGAAATTTCCAAAAATAGACAGGTGATGCTAAGAGAATGACTTGTGTCAACAAAAGTTTAACATGCACAACATTGATTATGTCAAAATCTACAAATGTGTTGTTTTAGAAAATGATCTGTTTTCGACACTGTCTGTAGTAGCGAAAAAATGTTGTTAATAAAATAATTTTATATTCTTACCTACAATATTACATACCTAAAACTGTAATAACTCTATTAGCCAGTGTGCATAATTGTGTAAACGGTTGTCCTAGCGAATTAAAATTACCGAACGTATTTTGTATATATCCACTATAGACAGTCAATGTAATAATCGATGTTGCCATATCGGTTGTAATATTTTTTGTAAAATAAAAATAAAGGGCACTAGGTATAGCATATTTAATTACAACGCCTCCATAACCACTAAATGAACTAATACCAACATATAATCCATAGAACAATCCGGTTTTGATTTGTGCCCCAAAGGATTGAGCAAGTTTTTCTTTTAGCTGATTTTGTTCTGTATCCATAACACTTCGATCACTCAAAACAATTTGTTCTGATTGTAATTCAACACGTTTTTGTTGATTAACAAAATGTGAAAAATATGTTTCAAATTTAACATTTGAACGATAAAATGGAATAATGGTCACGATCAGTATGATCATAAACACAATTTGCCATACATAAATGATAATCGTATTATTTTTGCCATTATGTTGAAGTAATAATGCTGTATATGGAATAAGTTGAACAATGGTACCTAAAATCATTCTGACAAGTATTACAAGTAAGTCTTGCATTCAAGAAAAATAAAGAAAACTGTTCAGTAAATTCATCAGAAACCGCCTCTTATTACATTGACTTTATGTACAAGCAACGAGACCCTATACAAATTATAAAGCATAAAAAGAATCATATATTTTTGTGGCAACCGCAGCCCTCACGCTATTCCATTTTATTTTTATAATAAAAAAGATCAAAAAGCGTAATTTGTACTCGCTTTTATCTTACACCCAACGTTTCTTCTCTCATGTACCATTTGAAAAATTTATGCGTCATTTGAGAGAACAACTCATAAATTACAAAATCTGAGAAAAGAAGCTTGTCAGATCGCATGGTATTTGAGAAAAACATCTTGGCTTATCAGCCGTTCTGGAAAACTGGAGAAACTTGAAAACTTTTTAATAAATGTAAAAGAGTTTTGGTCTTTGTTGTTGTAACTTCTCAACTCTCTCAAAAACTACAGAGCTATTATTTTGGCAATAGTTATTGGTTTTTATGCTTTATAACTTGTAGAGAGCTTCAGCGCTTCTGCATACCAGACTTGTAACCGATCTAGGAGATATTAGACCAGTCCGGTCCGGCTGGCCTAAAAATATTTCCAGACCGGTAAAAACCAGCGAGTTCATCAAGTTTTTTCATGTAATAAAATTGATATTACGGACAAAATTTTGTTCTGAATATCTAGAAAAATTTGGGAAGAGATTCACCATGTTAAATAACAAAGCCAATTAGGACGAATTTGCATCTCAGTTAGGAAGCTACGGTATCGGCATATAGAAAGTAAAAAATTGGGTTAATATCAAAGACAGAAGAAGCATATAAACGCCCAATACGTGACAATGTTCCAATTGCTAAGATATTTTAAATAATAAATAATATGACTTTGTGTTTGAAAATAAATTGAAAGAATAAAAAAACATAGAATTCACGTTTCAAATAAAATTGTCGCTCTTTCTTTCCTTAAAAAAAGCTACTAAGCGGACACGTATGTCTTCCTGATGAAAAATGAACGAATATGCACAACTTTGTGGCAAAAATCGGCCTGTCCAACTGACTCAGCTGGACCGGATCGGTTACAACTCTGCTGCATACACTTTTTGGGTAGGTTTCACATGAATTTACCTGTTGTACTCTCATCTCTTTTCCAAAGATATTGAGATTAAAATAATTACCAAGAATTCCGTTGTAATAAATCGATCCAAATAGAAAGTGAAATAATTGTGTATTAAATTCATGTAGATCATGTGATAACATATTTGGAATTAATGTAACATGTTTTGAATGATACATTGTGTCATATTGAAATAATAGATGTCCAATCGATAATAATTGTCGTTTTGTATACAATGATGAAATAATTTGTCCAGATGAAATAATCAAACTGTACGAGATTGCTACACCCAATATGTATCCGGTTAATATTAAACTGTCACCTTTTATTTTACTACGTGCTTGATCAATAGTTATTTTCTCGCCAGCATAATCACCCAAAACTTGAAAAATTGTACCTGTTTGTGTTGCTAAACGATAGCCTAAGTAACAATATACACCCAACCATATAAAAGCACATAACCAAAATAAATATGTTTCTCGACGCAATTTTCTACCATCATCATTGTTCAAATCAAATGGTAAATGTATGAGAGACCATATTTCTTTTATTTGATGAAACAGTGATGATGAAGATTTAAATGGTGGAATGTCGTTCATACTCGTTATCATTGGATTATCACTTTGTTGGCCAGCAAGGCAAGGATTCTGAAAAGAAAATTATACGGTTTCCAAAGATATTCTACTGTTAGAATAAGAAAAGCCTTAAAAGCCCGGCTTTCAACCATATCAAAGAAAGAGAAAAACATTTTCTGCTGTAATTGGCTTGGAGGTGGCGGGGAGAGCTATTGACAGCCCGAGGCGTAATTTCGAGCAATTGGTTCAGTGTTCTTTCTGTCTAATGCCTCTTCCCTACGGGGTTGGGGGTTCAGGGTGCATGACGCAGAGTATACGACTAGGAATACTGCTCCGATCTTTCATAAACATGGAGATGTGTGTAAAGAGTTTACTCTGAAATTGTGCTGGATACCGATATACGTTTGTGCTATGACAAGACGCTAAGCTATAAGGCAGATCTCTTGATACTATTTCGAGGTGTGCAATGTTATTATCTTGTGGAAAGAAACCGCGTATGGATCATAAGAAAATCATCGGTAAATAATAACCACCAGACAAATGCCCAAAATTTGAGCATTGACCTGCACAATAACAGTACGACAAACATAGAGAGGAGCCCATCGGGAAAACATGATCTCACTTTTTACGAAGTCATTTTTTTAGTGGAAAAATTTAAAGATACCTATTTTTTGAAAATAAGCAAAAATCCGTAAGTTTTTCGAAAACAAGCAAATTTTTCATATTTATTGTTTTTCTAAAGTTGCAAAACTAATTTTTTATGATTATCCATAGAAAATTGAGCATAAAAAGCTGAATCTCTAAATTTTGAAGTTGAAACTGACTGCCAAACTCACAGAACGGCAGCAGAATCGTAGCTACCTTACTCTCAAATTTGCAAGCGTATCTAGTTTTTTCCACCTAGGCTAAGCATTAATTGTTTGTTCTTTCTAATCAGTATACTTGTGGGACAAAAAGCATGAAAAGCGTTTGTTAAAATTTTATTTCGTTGCTGAAAAAATTCATTTTTTCAAAATCAGAGAAAAACATCAGATTTCTGTCCGTAATTCTCAATTTTTTCGATCAGAACTCAACTTTTCAGCTATAAAAATAGGATATTTGGAATCAGGATCAAAAACTGAGTCAACTAATGTGTATTTCTATCCTATCTGACCACTTTATTTTTTTTTGAATTTTCACGTTGAAAAACACTACTGAGATTTTCATCCAAAACTGGAAGTCAACTACAGAATTCAAAATACACATTTGATTAGTTCTACTCGACAACTTTCAGCGTTTTCTGGACAACACATTAAAACAAGAGTAAAGAGCTAAAACCAACATTTAATCTTACATTTAACTCATCTGTGACTATCTCTTCTTCTACTTCTTTCTCCATTGATATAATCAATTCATTGTTCGATTCTGACTGTTGGTACTCGGTATTTTTATGTAGTTTTAAGTGTTTATGATGATAATCAATCAGAGATTGTCGATGTGATATTGTTACATACCAAATACCCAGGCTAACCATTGTTTTATATATTTGTAATTCTGTATCAATATTAATTGCACTTGTACTTTCATCCAGCATAACAAGACAAGAACGTTGACGATGATCGGTTGTATATATGAATAATGCTAATAAACGCACAAATGATAAACGCTGTTGTTCGCCAATTGATAATACTGCTGGCCAATCGAAAATCTAGTGAAAATAAGTTACGATTATAACTTTTTCGCCAGAAACCATTCGTTTTAAAATTACAAAACAAAAAAAACAAATGTAAATTCCTCGAAACTCAGATTTTGTACTTTTCTGAATGCTCACTTTCTCCATTTCTGACTCCCGGAAAAGACTTTTTAGTACAAGCAGAGTTCTCCAGCTCACCAGTCTCTTGACCTTCGCAAGCATGATCTGTTTCGTTCGAATTTACTGTTGATTAGCAACATCTGCCGTGTCCACTACTTTTATCTCGTTAGTAGTTAGACTTCATGTTCTCAGACATATGACCAAGTTCTCCAATTCACTAACTCTGAGTTGAAAGTTCCCATTCAAAAAGCGATTCGTTCAACATCAATGAATAATTAACTGATAATTGTTTATACACATTTTTCGCTAAAGAAACACGAGAAACTAGTATTTTCCCCTTCTTTTATTGAAAATGAATATGTTTTCATATCTATTACGGGAACACTTAGAGCAGATGTCTGTGTACGTATCTTGTCTGTCACATATAAAATCTTGATATATAAGCAAAAAGAAAGCTAATGCATGAGAGAGAAGACTGGACGATCCGAATAGCTGAGATCAACAAAGAAGGAAGTCCTTTATGATGACAACGTGCGCATGATGATGATTCTCACGAATCAATAAAAAGTTAGATTGGCTATATACCCAGTCATTTTTATTTACTCGGGAACTTAAAGAAGATGGTACGCTTATTAAAATCTAGACAGCATTTCTAGGATAAAATATAATACCAAAGCTATACATTTGAGGTGGCATAATTGTTAGCAAACTCTTGGAATCGGACAAAATTACAGAGAGGTCATTCAGAAAATACACTGATAAAACGTGGATTCGTCGATCAACAGCATCGACTAATAAAAACTGGCTATATAAATTCTGCACACCCATGTCGAAATACTATACGAAAGAAGTAAAAAAGATGAGAGAGAAGCAATGAAAATTTTTTCGCGCTCTATGGCCAACATTTTCACCGTAACCAAACAATTTTCTACGGAATAAGGACGAAAAAGGGCTGGTTTCACCTATCTCTAGTTGTTGTGCGTATAGAAAAAGAGGAAAATCAAAGAAAATAAAAATAATAATACTGGACGGATAAATAAAAAAAGATATACGCTTGATATCTACGATTATGTATGACTAACGAGGAAAGGACACCAAGTGATAAATCGCTTCTAGCTTAAAACTTAGTGAACAATAGGTAATCGAATGTGCTGATTCCGGATACTAACATGAGACGGGCCGCTAGGCCTCCAAAGACTGGA